AGGTTGCAAACATAATCCTGCTGAAAATTTTGTTGGGATGATTGTGACTGATGCGCCTGTATCTACTATATTAATTCTAATGTTGTGCATCCAATTCTAGCGGCCACTTCAAAAAGTGGCGAGCCGATTGGTGCGACTTCGGCTCGTCTGATCAGTTTTCCGACGGCTGGGGTGAAAAAATGTAGTTTGCGGGTGATCTCATCTGAGTTGGAGATGAAGGTCTTGAAGATGGTTGAATTTGTAAAACTTTTTTTGTTTGGCCATCTGCATCATGGTTTACACGTTTTCGATTTGTTGCCAAAATATAAGTGATCTCGGTAGATTTGAGTGCGTTGGTCTTTATAAAATGGGCGAACGTTGACTAGGATGTTCGTATCAAGGATGCTGTTTGTTGAACTCGTTTTGTTGAAAAGTGTGTTGTTGTTGTTCGTGGTTTCTTTGCTCATAGCGTAAATTTTGTTTTTAGCAAATGAGATTAATTCATCTGCTAAATTTCCCAGTCGCTGTAGATCGAAATCTTTTTGAGCTGCGATGACTGGAGAAATTGTTGTTGGAAGAGCTTTTATAAGCATGTGACGTACGAGTTTGTCTCCCACTCCAATTTTATTGGCTGTCGCTAATAATTTTTGTAAATAGTGTGATGGTCTGACGGTCATTTTAGTATTTCCGATCAAGCGAGCGAACAATTCTGGTTTTGTTCTTTTGTAAATCGATATCACCGCTGTTTTGAGGTCGTCATAATTTCTATCATAAAAAAGTGTTGTGGTAATTTTGCAACCAAATCTGCCGGTAGCGATGATAGGGTATGATAAAATTTTCTTTCCGATGAACTAACTTTTCGGAGATGAAATTGAGCTTCAGCAATTGCAAACCATCCTGTCGATGCTGTATCCGTAGGTGGACAACTTGATGGATATCATGTCTATATTATTTAATCCGGATTCCGCAATGTTAAAAATTGAAAATTTATTACGGAGAAGTCTTTGATTCACGTCAGAAGAATCACGTCGGGGTCATCAATTTGTTAGTACGAGCGTTCTGCTACTAACAAGACACCTTGTTGTAAAGTAAAATAAATATAACAAACACAATTCAGGCGTAAAAAGAATGTTAACTTTATTTTAACGTGAATCTTGAACCGTCACGTTTACAAGCTCTCGGGGAAAAGAAAGAAGATCGAGAGAGAAGTAAAAAAATAAAAATTAACATAGATTAAGAAACATTCAAAATTGCAATAATCTTTAATAATAATTAATATATAAGATAGTTAATAAATAAATGTTTGATCCCTACATGCATTTCATTGGTTACAACGGAGCAACATCTGGCAACAGTGTGGACCGAACTGTAGAAGTAGCCATGAACATGAGCTGAATCGTTACGAGACATTTTTATTCTGATTTATAACTTTGAACTTAGGTCATGATGTTATCTATCATCTATTATAATAGATTATAGGTCGTAGAATGGGGGGTGGTCGGGTGTGACATAATTATTGGGGGAGTTCAACTGAACGTGACAAGATGTGACAGGGAGGGGGGAGAGGTAAAAAATGGCGTGACATAATTATTGAATGGCCCCTAATCAATTTTTAATAAGACCAGTGAAGAAACAAGTAACTGAAGAGTTAGATCATCAAGAAAATGTGAGTTTTTAATTTTATGTAAATAAAAATAAGATTTTTTTAGCGACATTGAAAAGCCATCTAAATGTATAACTTGAAAACAATTTTTTATTAAACAGGTAGCCAATTTTAAAAAGAAAAAATATGAGAAATAGAGGAGCAGAAGAAACCAATCCAGCAGCAGAATTGAAAGCTTTAGATAAATGGTATAATGGTATAATGTAGAATAAAGAAGCCAAAAATAGTAATTTCGCTTTTTCGAGCAGATATATATAATCTACTATAAAATTTTCGCGTATTCAAGTAGAATGTGAAAAAAATTAAGTTTTGGTAATTTGTTACCACTTAAACTCCAATATATTTCCATTGGCTTTTTTGTATAATAAATATACAGTATGACTACTAACGTATATGCCAGATTGCCATCTCTATAATTATGCAAATTTGCCACCTATTGTAACATGGGTAAAACTACAAATGTGACCATATTGAGGAGAGGCATATCGACTAACTTCACCTAATCCTTTTATACACAACAGATGCTCGTTGTTTGTACGTGTTTTTTCCGTTAATATGTATAACTTGTTATTTTATTTTTATTCTCCACTAAACGACTGGGATTTTAAGCCTTAGTTTAGCATTTACCTACTGCGCATATAAAAATTAGAGTTTAGACTTTCCCCTTTTTACAAAATGGCTTTTTCAGAAAATGAAACTAAAAATTTTTCAACAATTTTATGAGTTTTATAGAATGGATCATTGTTACAACAACATTTGTGAGAAGATGAATGAACTTGTGAAATATCTTTAAAACCATTTAGCTTATTGAGTTGAAGTAATATTATTAATTAACCACGAAGTTTCATAAAACGAACAACGAAAAAAATTCAACGCACCCTCACTTAATTGTTGAACACCACAGCTCTGTTGTGTTACTAATATTGGCGCCATTCAAAAAGATACTGCGCGGTTGAGTTCGTTCTCCTTTTCGTTCCTTCTCCCGTTCGTTCGTTCGTTCTGCTTCGTCTTTGTTGCGCTTTTTATCTTTGAGGTTTATTGAATTAAATAAAATTTTTAAAACATAAAAAATGGAGTTTGTATCTCCGACCAAAGGAGTCACGTCGACTTTGCAGGGAACAAATCTTGGCAGTGAAGAGAATTCTGTATGTTTATTTTAATTTTTAATTAATCATTTATTTTATGTTTGTTTTAAAATATTTTTTAAATAAAAACGAAATGAGATTCAACTGTGATCATTTTAACTTTTCTCAATAATAAATGACAGTGTTGCTGTTCATCCCAATATAGGACAGGTAGTTGCAGGAGAAAAAAATGCATGAAAAAAATTTTTCAACTTGATTTCTATAATCTGCAACTCTTTAGCCACATGAGCTCAAATTTATTTATATATATACCAATATATATATATATATATATATAGCAACTTTTTGAATGTAAAAAATTTGTTTACTACACCATGCATTTGTAAATAAAAATAACAAAAATCCACTAAGGATAATGTATGCAGGTGCAGGGCAACAAACATGAATCTATTTTTTAAATGAGCGAATATTTGTACAAATATGCTGAAACATCTGATAGCTTTTTTTTATTGCGTAAAAATGTATTTAACAGTAAAAGGGAAGTCATAATAAATTGAAATTTAATTTTAAATGTAGATAAAGTGAAAAAAACTACAAATTAGAATTAGACTTAAATTAAATGTTATGAAATGATTAATATATTCAATTTGAACACATTTAATTTTTGATAATAAGAATTGAAATAAAATCAATATAATGTGCAATTTAATTTTTTTTTTTTAAATTTATCAAATTTTCTGTCAGGTTGTCTTATCGCTTCAATAAATTTGTGAACTTGAAAAGGATCACTTTGCTCTTGTTTCATATTCTAATAATAATTCAACAATTAATTATGCAATTTTATAACAAATGATTATCTTATTCATCCTTAAATTAAATAGCAGTGTTAAATAAATAATGTAATTTTTAATAAAATACATCACATAACTGATAAAATTTTTTGAGGATCTTGTTGCATTTTATTTTGTTCAAGTTTTCAATTGTTAATTTGAATGCAGGAATGTATGTATGTATGTACGTAATAATAATAGTAATATTAATGGGTTGTGGTTTTGAAAGAAAGAGACATATATCATGTGTATCATTTAGTTTTACCAATTCAAGGTTTGAACTTTTCTGGACATTTCCATATATTGAAGACATCCGTGGTCCAGTCATTAATTTTCAGAGTAAGCCAGGAGCTCAAAGCTGTGTCATTACTTCAGTTTTATTTATGGTTTCCCATAATGATTTGATCAAATCATTCTTGTTGTTACTAAATATAAAAAGTATTCAAAGTTTATAGTTTATTCATGCATACTCAAAATTACAAGTAAACAAGTTACCGTTTCAGGAATGAACGAAGCAGATGTTCATATTATAAAGCAACACCACCCTTATGAAATATGACATGAAACCTGTTGCCCACATACCTCAGAAACATACTTGTTGCAACATTGTTTGCTCTTAAAAATGCTTTAAACACACAAGGATCTCCCTTTTGACTGTATCTGTAATAATTATTTTTTTTAAATCATTCCAAAAAATTGCTGAAGTTTAGAGAGACCATGCAGGAATGATGCAGCTGAGCCAAAAATCCTTTTGTTGCATGTCAAACCCAGTTTCTTGTCATATTCCATCAAACATTTCATACTTTCAGTTGCAACCGTTTCTAAAGGATGAACGTTACAATAAAATTGTAACAAATCAATTTCTAATTCATCTTTTAACAGTTGATAGACATGATTATTTAGTCAAATAGCATTTGAATTTGCTAAGAAAATGACTCTTTACTTGCGGGATGAGCAGTGCATTAAATATAGAGTATGTATCTACAACATTTTTAATGCATGAATGTATATGATTTGCATAGTCAATGGCTGTAGCTTCTGGCAACCTTGCTAGTGAAACTGTATAACAAACTTGCATGGGAGAGAGGCAGAAGTGAATCTCTACTATTTTTCCCAGCAACAGTGGTGGTGTCATGTGCCAAAGTAGCAGAGGTACAATTATACAGTACTTCACCAAACTGGAACTCAGCAAAAACACCAAGCTCATAAGCAATTCATGCTATATTGGAAGGATGCGAAACATTGGTCAATGGCAATCCATGAACAGTTGTGCTAAAATATTGTAAAATATGTCCAACGCTTTTAAAATGGAACGTTTTGCAAAGGTGCACTGCACACTGCTTTTCTGAAAAATGTATTGTAAACATTTCCAACTTTAGAATCGACTTGTTTCAAACATTCTTCATCTTCCAAAATCAAAATTGTCAAATGTTCAGCTTCTTTTATCAAATCCTTGTTATTTGTTTGAACATTGTTTAGCTCCTTTATCAATAATTCAATTTTATCAATTTGTTTTTCATTCCAGATTTATAATTTTCCATTAACCTGTTTTTGTCTTATTATTTGAGCTCTTCTCAATTTAATATTCTTTAATTTTTTATGTAAATAACTGTTAAAAAAATTAGCCTACCCTTTTTCTCTTTCCTTATAAAATTTTGCTTTTCATGAGTTGACTTTCTCATGGATGCCAAACACTTCAAAACATTCTGCGCTTTCAAACTGGCAATTTTTTGTTTGGAACCTATTTTCATACTTGAAATAACTTTTCTATAGTTTTTAATTAAAGTATTTTTTATGTAACAATTTTAGGAATGTTTTGTGATTGTTTGATTCGTTTTATTTGAAGGTTCAATTGGCTGAATATGGAATGGGTTATTCACATATTCAACAAATTTGTTCCAAACTCTGTTAATAATGGGTTGGAGAAATTCTCTTCCACAAACTTTTCAGAACATCCATTGCTTCAATTTTCTGAACCTGAGACATGTTTAAATATGGATGTAGATTTAAAACAATCAAATTTTATAATTGCAAACAATGACATATATGCCTAAATATATTAGGCTATCCAATTTGATTTTTATAGCAAAAACTTTAAAGCTGTTTTTCAGTATCAGTGACCAAATTGATTCTTATAAAAATTTAACAGAATATTGTTGAATGCTATAGAAAACTATTGGAATTAAAAAATTTGAGGTGTTTCAATTAGTTCATCATGCTTCATGGTGAGACTAACAGCGCTGTTTCGGCCCACTGTTTTAAATAAATACGAATTCAATAAATTCAGATGTGTTGGGTGTTTAATAAAGAAATCCATTAATACAAAATGGCCAATTATCTTTAATGATGTTTGCATAAAAAAAAACCCAAATACATATATACAAACTAAATACATATATAATCATACATTATAAAATATATGATTATATATGTATGAGAATTGATTTTTTTTGTTATAAGTTATATTATATTATAAAATAATATGTCTAGCTTTCTTTTATCAATCTCATTGCTGATGGTTAACAATTTTTTAAATTTCAGCCCCCAGAAAAAAAATCCATGATTGGGACAGACAAAGAGAAGGTTTTTTAATGTTTTTTTTTTTACTTTTTGACATTTTGCTACCATTGAGTTTAATTTTTACTTTTTAGTAGAAGTTTCTTCAGTTTCACAGTGGTCTTATAAAATGCAACATCTTGTGTTCAATTATATTTTATATGTAAAATAAAAAGCAAGCTAATGTGTCTATAAAATCTAAAATGCCTTTTGATTAGATGTTTATGCTACTACTAGCAAATGAAAATTATGTTTGTTGTTTTTTTGTTTTGCTTTAAAAATGCATTTGATTTGAATAAGGTTTTGGCATGAATGAACTGCAAATTAGTTATATTTATTTTGTTTGCTTGTGTCATTTTTTTTTACATTGAAATGAAATGTTCAACTACAGATTAAGTTAACCATGTTAACCCACTATCATTTGGTTGAGTGTGGTAAAAAATCATTTCATGGTCTTCAGAAAATTAGTCTACTGTTTAATTAAAATTCCCATTTTTTGTTCTCCACTGTTTAGAAAACTTGCCTTATATTGTATTGTTTTGTTTGAGTTGGTATTGTGAGTATAACATTTGTGACAACACTTTTCTAGTTAAAGAATAATTTCACTAAGAAGTTGGTGCCAAATTAGCAACTGGAACATGTAAGGCGTGCATTGTAATGGTTGTTGGCATATTGAATGTCTGATTGAATCAATTAGTTCTGTTCTTCACCCTGTTGTATAAAAAGCAAACCTCCTGGGTGGCATAGCATTGTTGGAGGAAGCTTCTTTTTAAAAGCTTTCAAAAATGTCTTCATATTTGACTAAATATATATGTCATTAATAGCTCTATTTATTTTTTTTCATTTGTTTTGTTGTGTGGAGAATGGTGTGTTGGAATCTGGAGAAAATTATAAATCTCTTCCCATGCATTAGCCTCAATTGTTGGCTTCTTTTTGTCATTAATATGTACTTCTTTATTTTATACCATTCATTTATTAATTAATATATACATTCTTATTTATGTTTATTAATATTTACTTTTTATTTATTTTCAACTAATATTTCATTCATACATTCATTAGTATGCACCTTGTTTATCTGTCATTAATATCTACTTTGTTTATTTGCAGTCATTTGCCTCTCCATGCAAGCAAAATGTAAAAACCCCAGAAAAGAGGCTGGCAGCAACAAAGAGATCTTTTGCTTCTCCAGATGTAAGCAGTTAAATTTTTTTAATGTTTCCATTCACAAATTCAATGTTAGCTTGATTTTAAGGAGAAAGCCTGCTCAGTGGCCTGCGAACCTCTGCTTCAGCCTAACCCTCGGAGGTTTGTTATTTTTCCGATAAAACACCAGGACATCTGGAGGTTTTACAAGATGGCCGAAGCGTCCTTCTGGACGACGGAAGAAGTTGATATGTCTAAGGACATGGCGGATTGGAACAAGTTGAATAATGATGAGAAGCATTTTGTAAAACATGTTTTGGCCTTCTTTGCTGCTAGTGATGGGATTGTAAATGAAAATCTGGTTAGTAACATTTTTATATCAGTTATTAAGTTACTTGAATTTATTGCTCATCAATTTGTTCAATTTGTCTTGTTTCATTCAATGGTTTGTGACTAAGTTATTTCAAGTTATAGGATTTAAAGTAGCAGCTCATTTGCTTGTCTACAGGTCAGCAGGTTCAGCAAGGAGGTGCAACTTCCCGAAGCCCGCTTTTTCTATGGCTTCCAGATAGCTATTGAAAACATTCATTCAGAAATGTACAGTCTCCTCATAGAAACATACATACAGGATTCAGATGAAAAGTAAGTCTTTTTCTTGATATCATTCTTTTGTTTATGCAAAATTAATTACAACATAAAATGAATACTTACAATAATGATTAAAATGGAAAATGATGATTTTACGCATAATCTAACCTAACTAAATCCATTAAATGCTATTTGGAGATTCAATTAATGTTTTATTTTCTTATTTATTAAATTCTAAAAATAAGTGGATGTAATCAAGTCCATCAAACTGACCTCTTCGTGGCCATCCTAACTTGTGGTGACAGCACTTCAACATTTGTTATCAAAATTGAAACATATCTCAGCAGAATTTATAATGCATCTTGTTATATTCATTTGTTATTTTTATGCCTTCCAACAACAAATATTGGACCAGTGGATCTCTTTCCCTTGTTGAACCCATGTTGGTTCATTTGTGCTACATCATTGACATTAAGTATTGAATAGATGCAGTTCAACATTTTTCCACCTTTCTTGTTCCAGTCTTCCCTGTTAACTCTTATGCATTCCAATGTAATCGTGCATTGTTATTTTCCAGGTACCCTGCAGATGTTTATGCCTTTCATGTTGCAATCTTCCCTGTTTTATTATTTTTTTATAATTTTTTTATTATTTTATTATTTATTAACTCATTTTATGCATTTCAATGTTATTTATTGCACACTTATAATATGAATAAAAATTTTTTGTTTATTGTTTCTCATGTGGACAAGGTTACTGAATGATTAAATGTTACATTTGACAGCAGTTATTATCTCTTGAAATCTTATGATAAAGATGAATCTATAACTGGCTATTGTTTCAAATTCAGCTTCCTAAAACTGACTCAACTGTTGCTTTCATTTAAGTTTAGACAAAAAATTTGTTCTCCGTTTTGTCTTTTGTCCTAACTTTTTACTTTAACTTTTTCATTTCTAATACTGTTTCCTTCTTGGGTTTTACAAACTGTAAACCTCCAATCTTCATTTGTCAATTATTACCCTTCATGTGTTCTGTAGTTTTTAAGTAAGCAGTCTCCGTTACATCCTTCATTTATTTCAGATTTCGTCATCCATTCATTTAAAATTTAAAATATTTGAGAAATGTTGAGTTAGTCAATATCAATAGAATTTGATCTTTTCAAAACAGAGATAGATTACTAAATGCCATTGAAACTGTTCCATGTGTAGCAAAGAAGGCTGCATGGGCTCTTAAATGGATTGAAGATCATAATTCATCATTTGCTCTCAGGTTGAAAATTTCTGCTGAATGTTATGAAATGCACTTAGTTTTGAATATTTTCAAGTGTGAGATCTCAGTTATATAAGGATTTTTGATTTTTCTTCATGATGCATGAAGCTAACTTGTCAATCACTTTTATATTATGTTTTACATTTTTTCTTTATTAAATATTTGTAATGTAATTGAAACTCGTTCAGATTGGTGGCATTTGCAGCTGTCGAAGGAATCTTTTTTTCAGGATCTTTTGCATCTATATTTTGGTTGAAGAAACGTGGAGTGATGCCCGGTCTAACGTTCAGCAATGAGCTGATCAGTAGAGATGAGGTATGCGCTTGATATGCTGCTGTTTAATATTTAAATATAGCGTTGTTATCATTGCCACTTATGATGGGTTGTTGTTGACGACGTTGCTTGAGACTCAAGCCAAACCAAATCAGCTTGAAGGTTCAAGCTGGTGAGACTGATGGACATCCAGTAAATATCGGGTGATAATAGGTAGAAAAAATTGCGTTGTATCTATTCTGTAAAAAACCTATTACTTTTGTTCTTATTTAATTCATACTAAAGAGTGTAATTATTGTTTATCGAAAAGAGGATCATTGTCATTCTCAACTTAGTGACAGCTCAAACTTGAAGTTGAATGGGCCACATATATTTTGATAGCACGGTGCATCTTGTGTAAAAGTGAATTATAAAATTTAATTATCGTGAGTTTATTTTTTAACCTTTCTATTATATTGTTCGGTAAGTAATTTCGTTTTTTCTCGACAGATGATTTAATTGTATTTTTTCACAGCAAACTTCACACTTAAGTCTCATTGTCATTATATGTCTTGACAGCTGATATAGCAAGGCTTGTGTGTAAATAAATTCAATTGGTTATTGGTCGGTGCTCTTGAAATATGGAGAGCAATCAGCAGCATTTTTGTCATATTTTACTTTTTTACTATAGAGAAGGTAAAAATGCTGTTCAAGCCAGAAAGAAATTAACCAATGTGTATGGAGAAGATGTGTTGACAATACGCCAGTGGCAGAACTGGTTTGCAAAATTTCGATCCGGCAATTACATGCTACTACCTAGAAAGATGGATCTGAATGGCCAATATATAATTTAATTAAATATTTATTCATTATACAAAGATCGTCTTTCATTTTCACCACAAAAAACGAAATTACTTTCTGAACAGTCCTATATTTATAACTCAACTTGGCTCTAAAGTCCACGTTTTTTGTTACACCGCCTCAAATCAAAGCAGAACATATCAAATGCATCTTGTGTTATGCAAGTTTTCCTGTTTTAATTACATTCTCTTCTGTAGCTTTATTTTTTTACAATTAATAATTATCCAGTTTTTTTAACTTCCTCTAGGGCCTCCACACTGATTTTGCCTGTTTGCTGTTTAAATATATTGTGAACAAACCGGATCAATCGACTATTCACCAACTCATCAAAGAGGCTGTTGAAATTGAAAAAGAATTTTTAACAAATGCCCTGCCCGTAGATCTCATTGGCATGAATTGTTTGCTAATGTGCCAGTACATTGAATATGTGGCAGATCGGCTGCTTGTTGAGTTACATATGGAAAAGGTTGATCTGCTTTTATTAATCTTTTAATTTTTAAAAGTTTTTTGTGGTTGCGTAAAGTCAGCTAAATGTTGTGAACTGAAAAGTCATCAAATTTTTTAGTTGCAGCAGTTTTTCTGATATAGCGTACCATATATATATATATATATATATGTGTATATATGTATATATATATATATGTATATATATATATATATATATATAAAATTGTTTTTATTTTTGTTTTATGTATAATCTTAAATTATAAAATTCAGACTAATTTATATATGAAAATAATGGATTATATATCTTGTGGAGGATGTGTAATTTATTATGTAGAAATAAAGTGAAATTTCTAATTGTGAAATAAAAAGTAAAGTAGTAGTAAAGTACGCTTTAGGCTGGCAAAGGAGCCAGTAAGTGTGTTGTCAGGTGCATTATGACAGCCGATTACATTGATACTGTTTGTCCAGTAATCATAGCCTGCATTAAAACAGTTTACTGTAGGTACTTCCAAAAGTTTACTTTGCAATGAATTCCAAAGATTTGCTAATCTATTGAAAAAATAATTCTCTTTGTCGTAGTTTGGTTATCTTTTTATAGTATTTATAACGATGCCTCACAACCTGGTTTCCAACTATATGAAAACGATTTCCTCTATCAAATTTTTCTACACCATGCATAATTTTCTATAACTGAATTATATCACCTCTTTTTTTTCTTTTGCTTTCTGTGGTTAAATCTAACTCTTCAAAACGCACTTCGTAACTAAGATTTCTGATTGATAGACAGATAGTAGTGCAGTGTTGCACTCTTTCGAGTAGACGATAGTCGCTTTTGAGTACTGGAGACCAAACCGGCACAGCAAACTCATATACAGGCCAAACAAAGGTTAACCCTCCAATGCATGACTTAAAATTTTTTTGTGATTTTGAAATATTTTATTTAGCATAGTTTCAAAACATCAAAAAAGCCAATTAAAATGAAATTTAAAAAAAATAAAGTAAGTTATGATCAAAAAACAAAGTGTTCCTAAAAAGGTACGTTATGAGTTAATACTCATGGTAAATCATTTCCTGTGAAAATGTTCAAAGCATTCCAAGTGTAGGGCAACATCACATTTTAAACATTTCTTTGATACTTTCTTGTGGCACAATTTACATCTTTTTCGTCCATCCGAAATTTTTCCAATGAAATGGTCTTTTCCATCAAATTTTATTTCATTTTCAACGTTACGGTTTACTGATTTTCTTTTCAGATCTTCTGGTTGGTTTTGCCCAAATATAGTTTTGGCAACACTTCTCCTGAACCCAGCATAAGTGTGATTTTCATGCTTTGAGTATTTTTTGGAAATGCACCAAGCATTATGAATGCTAGAATCCAAAGCGAAAGCAAAAAGCGGCCACCACCATTTTTTAATCCGAATATTGGTGCGCAAATTTTCAATGTTTTGATCCATCCTGTCAGTTCCACCCATAATTCTAACTGTACCGGTTGCATAAATATGATTTTCTTTTAGTCGTTCAATTAATTTGAACGAAGTGAAAAAATTGTCAAAAAATAAATGATATCTCTTATCATCAGGAAGGCATGATGTCAGTTTTTTAACCACTGATCCACCGAGTCCTAAATCTGGATCATAATCTTCAGTGGCTCCTTGATAGGGTTCACAACTCACTAAATAACCTAGACGATTATTCATGCACCAAATTCTCTATTCGGTTAATTCTAACTGTACCGGTTGCATAAATATGATTTTCTTTTAGTCGTTCAATTAATTTGAACGAAGTGAAAAAATTGTCAAAAAATAAATGATATCTCTTATCATCAGGAAGGCATGATGTCAGTTTTTTAACCACTGATCCACCGAGTCCTAAATCTGGATCATAATCTTCAGTGGCTCCTTGATAGGGTTCACAACTCACTAAATAACCTAGACGATTATTCATGCACCAAATTTTGAATCCGAATCGGATAGGTTTACCTCTTATAAATTGCTTAGAGGAATGCCTACCAAAATATGAGAATTTATTTTGTCTTTGAAAAAGTTAGCAAAAGAAGATACAAGAGTAAGAGATTCAGCATCAGAAAAATAATGATCTGAGCGTTTGTAAAGAACGTTGTTAAGAGAATGCCAGAAATCACGAGAGTTGCTGTAGTTGTTAAGAGTGTTCTTAATGGAATCGATCCTACCCCTCATAACGGCCTCATGAGCAACACGTTTAGCATTTTTGTAGTTGACTCAGTTGAGCGCTGATTTTTCACGTTTGTATTGACGCTCCATACGACGACAATTTCTTTTAGCGGTTGAAAATACATTGCCATTTGAACAACCAATCGATTGAAAATTGAGATCGCCCATTATTAATAGATTTTTGAAACTTTTTAGTCTTTAAATACAACCAACGAGGAATTATTCAGATGCAGAATAAACAACAGTCCAAACTTGTTGTACATTAGATTTAAATCAGTATCATTCAATTCATATGATTCAATTAGGTTATTTACATATATGCAGACACCTGCACCTCTTCTACCATTGGTTTCCGCGGATGCCATATCAAAAGGGAGAATCAGCTACTAAAGTTGAATTCAATTTATTCATCTCCAGTCTGAGTTTTTAACCCGATTGTTTCCCTGTTTTCCACATCAAATCTACCGAAACCCTGCGTCGTGCTGGTTTAGATGATATAAAGGACGAATGTCGGCAACACCGTCGGCGGTGGTTTGGTCATGTCAAACGAAGTGGAAACAGTGTCATAACTTCTCTTGCAGATGTTGAAGTACCTGGCACACGTCTCCATCAGAACAAGTTATCCAAATGAAATTCAGCAAAAATTAAACGAAAATTTGCAAATTAACTACGCTTTTAGACTGAAAATGTAAAAAATTTTTATAAAATAAGATTTAATAGCGTTTAATATAATATATAATTATATATATATATGTTGTTGTTGTTGCCCCTTCCGGGGGACCCTTAGGATTCTAATCGAGGTTGGAGCCAATCCGCCACTGCAACAGGGTTTCTCCAGAAATCTATTGGTTGAAGTTTTGGAGTGGAGTTTTGGGGACAGCTAAACAAATGCTGTACATCATCCGTATGATTGCTGCAAAAAGGACAGGTGTTGATGTGCCCATTGTCGATTCTGTTTTTGTAGCTGTTTAGAAGAATACTATGGCCAGATCGGAGTTGGGCGAGGGTCCGTCTGATAGCCCTAGGAAGGGATTCTTCTGAAGGATCTATTTTTGGTGCTGGAGGAGGCCATCCGTCGAGCAATAGCGGCGACTGGTACGACTCAGCGGCGGCTTTAGCAGTTTTTGTATGTAGGCTTTTTAAAGCTGTCTTCAGAGTGTTATCGTCGATTATTGTTGGTAGAACCGCATCTATTGTTGATACCATTTCGAGAGGAGGGTGGTCTTTATGTCACAATGAGGACGAGGTTGTATGATAATATTATGGCATATTATATAGCATAGGAGGAGGAATTGTGAGGCTATTAGCTCTGGATGCTGCCTTACGTTAACATCTGGCTTTCTGAGTGCAGGTGTCGTTCTGATGCGGCGGTATAGCAACCAGTAACCAGACGTATTGCAGCATTCTGGGAGCGTAGGAGACGGGAGAAACTTGAATCTGACGTCAGTGATGCCCAGGCACGACAAGCATACTCAGTTGTTGAACGACCGATGGTTTTGTAGGTCTGTAGAAGAGTTTCCTTATCCTGACCGAAGGTAATACCACTGAGTGCCTTTAAAATATTGGTTCTTTTAGAGGCCTTCGGTGCTGCTTGTTTATGGTGTTGTGAGAAGGAAAGCATCGTGTCTAGGGTGAGGCCTAATGTTTTAGGGCTGTGCTCAAGAATATTAGCACAACCCTAAAATATAAACTAAACCCGGCAAACCAGCTAGCGACGCGAAATCATACCGTCCCATATCTCTACTTTGTACGGCAGCCAAAGTATTTAATAATAATAATATAAACATTTATGAAGCGCCCATTCGCACAGCTGCTTCAGAGGCGCCCGGAGCCCGTGTTAAAAAGATGAGTCTTTATCCCTTTTTAAAAAGACTCAACGAGGAACATTGTCTTAACTCAGGAGGTAACGCATTCCAGACATACGGAGCAGCGTGACGAAAACCGCGGGATCCGGCAGCGGGAATGTTTAAGAAACCTGTTGAGCTGCTGCGGAGTGATCTAGTATGTTCATGTCTGGATATGAGGTCGTATAGATATGTTGGGGATTTTAATAAAAGGGTTTTGAAGGTAAGGACTGCAATTTTGAAGATGATTCGAGCGGAAATTGGAAGCCAATGAAGCATTGGAAAGAGAATGGAAGAACTAAAACGGGGAGGTTTATTAAATATAAGTCTAGCAGTTTTATTTTGGATAGTCTGTAGTTTTCTGACAGATGCACGTGAGGCCCCATACAATAAGGAGTTGCAGTAGTCTAATCTAGAAAGGATCAAAAATCTGCAAAGGGCAGCAGCAACATCACATGTAATCATATGTCTAATATGTCTTATTGCGCAGAGGTGATAGTTGTAGGATCTGACGATTTCTGTTATTTAAATGCCTACTGCCGATCATCTCAGACCATCTCACATTAGCGAGCCATCAACATGGTTTTCGCCCACTTCATTCAACAACATCTCAAACGGGCTAAACCAGAAGAGGCCAGCTCATCGTACAATTTTAACAGCACTGGACCTCACAAAAGCTTTCGATACCGTTAACCATCGTACCTTAATCTCTAACCTCCTACTGCCAACGCTTCCACGGTCAATTGTCCGCTGGCTTTCAAACTATCTGTATGGTCGCTCCGCCTCAACCGAGTTACGTCGACAATCCTCAAAACAACGTACCATCCGTTCAGGAGTACCTCAAGGATACGTGTTGTCACCAGCTCTGTTTAACTTCTACGTTTCCAAGATTCCAACCCCACCTCAAAACATCAAAGTCATTTTTTATGCAGACGACTTCACAGTCTACACCACTGGTCCAGATGATAGTCTGACCCACCGGCTCAATTGTTACCTGCCGAAGATATTTGACTTTTTCAACAACAGAAACTTGGAGATTTCCACCTCCAAGTCCACAGTCACTCTTTTCACTTCCCACACATCACTACATCATCACTATCCTTCAATCAAAATCAATGACAATCTTTTTCCTTTTGAGCCCAACCCTAAAATATAAACAAAATAAACTAAACTTATTGAAAAACTATCGAACAAGGCGACGATTCGTACACTTTCATGCTTGGATAATGCCCAGTGAATCTGCAATCCAACCATCTGATCTAATTCGCCAATTAATCCGCTTATATTTAATATGTAATGTTTAATATGCATATATAATATATTATTGTTCATAATTATCATTTATTACTAAGAAAAAAATTTACACTCACTGATTTCAAATGTTTTTCAAAGTATCTTTCAGTAAATAATGGTTTTTTATTAAAATTGTAAAGCAAAAATGAAAAGTTTTTCATCTGGCTCTGGCTGCTAATAAACTAAACTTGTTGAAATAAAAATAGTAAAACAAAAATGGAATGTTTTTTATCTGGTTCCCTGGCTGCTAATACAATGAACTTATTGAAAGACTAACGAACGAGGCGACGATTCGTACATTTTCATACTTATATGCCCAGTGAATCTGCAATCCATCCATCTAATCTAATTCGCCAATTAATCCGCTTATATTTAATATGCAATATTTACCTCTAACTATTCAGGTTTGTTGATACAGCATTTTATTATTTCAGATCTGGAAGTCAGAAAATCCATTTGATTTCATGGATCATATATCTTTAGAAGGTAAAACTAATTTTTTTGAAAAAAGAGTTGGAGAGTACCAGAAAATGGGAGTTATGGGAACAGAAGCAAAACGTGAATTCAAAACTGATGCAGATTTTTAACTTTGTCTTATTTTTACATAATTTAATATTTAATTATTTATTATACAAATTCGCTAATATATTTTTCTCAAAAATTTACAATTCTGTTGTGCGTTTTCGATTTCTTATTTGTGGTTCGGTGCCATTATATTTATTATATGTAACATAGCGCAATTATTCTGTCACCACTCAGAACGCTGTCTCGCCATGTGATAGCTCGAAAAAAGTAAAATAACGATCAATTCTTGTTTTATACAAATGAATTTTGAAAAAAAACATTAATTATGGCAGTAATAAATAAATAAATTAAAAAATTTTAACTTTTCTTTGGTTGTGTCAAACTAACAAAGGATGAGTTAGGTGGGTAGAGATGAGCGTGGGAACAGGATTAGCGGGAATCCTATGGGAATTAGTAAAACCTAATATTCGGGAATGGGAATTTTATGGAATAGGAAGTCACTTTTTGGAAATCGGGAATGATGGACGGAAATTGGAAAAACAATATACACATTGGTCACCGGGTAAGTTCAGTCAATCAATCAATTGCCTTATAAAGCGCTGTTTCCGCGATGTTCAACAGCGCTCCTCAACGAATTTTGCAAACAGATGGGTCTTGAGATCCGATCTGAACTTCGTAAGTGATGGAGAAGTAGTTAGAGAGTTTCAGAGAAAAGGGCTAAAAAAGCAAATGCAGATTTAGCAAAAGATTGCTTAATACGAGTTAAAAAGAAGTGAGAACAAAAAGACGATCATAAACCGAGAACAAGATATGGAGATATATGAGACAAGAAAGGGGCACGAGCAGAAGAGTTAAAAGCTTTACTTATAGGATAGAGTGTAGAATCAGGAAGACCATTGTAGAGCGAATTACAATAAATCCTAGATAAGACTAACGAAGTAACAAGAAAGAGAAGAGTAAGATCGTCAAGAAAAGGCAAATGTTTTTTATTCTACGTAGGTGAAAGTAAGAACTAGCAACATTATTAATCTGAGAAGAAAGAGACATAAGAGAGATTTTAATCAAATATAAAGCCTAGACTACGAAACTTGTGAGAAACATCAAAAGTTTTAGAATCAGGTAAAATAATAGGAGGAATAGTAATAGAGTGTTTAGATTTATTAAAACAAATTAATTCAAATTTAGAAGGATTAAGTTTAAGACACATAGAGTCAGACCAAGCAATAATTGAAAAAAAGACATAGAGATAGATTAGGAAGAACACTATTGAGATTAGATGGCGAAAAAGAAGTATAAATATAAAAATCATCAGCATATAGTTGACTAATGAAGGAAAAATGTTTAATAATAGTTTAGAAATATAGAGTATAAATAGAAGTGGGCCAAGGATAGAACCCCGAGGTACCCCGAAAGTAAGAGAAGAGGAGTTAGAACTAGAATTATTGAGAACAACAAAAGAAAAATGAATACAGAAATAAGAAAAAAACCGAGACAAACAAGAATCAGTAATATTAAAAGAAAGATCTTGCAGCTTCAAGAAAATAGTATGATCAACAGTATCAAAAGTAGAGGAAAAGTCAAGAGCAAGAAGAAGAGTAAGATTACTATTGTCACTAGAGAGAAGAATATCGTTATGTATTTTGAGTAAAGAAGTTTCAGTACTGTGAGCAGGTCTGTAACCAGATTGAGATACAGGTAGCAAGGAATTGGAGTTTAAATAAGATGACAATTGATTATAAACTACTTTTTCAATTATTTTAGAGATAAAAGTAATATTAGTAACAGGTCTATAATTAGATAAAGAGGAAGAATCTAAGTAAGAGTTTTTGAGAATAGGAATAACAATGGAATTCTTATAAGTTGGAAATTTAGAGGTGGAAAGAGATAAATTTACTAATTTGAGAATGATAGGATAAAATATTGAAAAAATTCTTTAAGTAAATTAGAAGGAAGTAGATCTAAAGAACAAGTTGTAGATGACATAGAATTAATAATTTTATTAAGTAATGTTATGAGGAGAAAAATTAGAATTAGATGTTCTTAAAGAATTAGTTTTATTTACAAAAAAGTCATGAAACAGTTGAGCAGAAAAAGATGATTGAGATGATTTTTTATAAAGAAGTTTAGATAAAGCAGACCACCTATTTTTAGATGTTGAAGCAGATATAGAATTTCTAAGAAAAGTAGAGTGTTTAGAGAATAGTAGATACTTATAATTAATTAATTCAGATTTATAGATAGAATAAAGAGAGTTAGATGGATTTAACCTACAGGTTTTCTCCAGTCTTCTAACACTTTTTTTAGCTAATACACAAGCAAAGTCGAAACAAGGAGCCTTACGAGAATAGAGCTTATAAGTAAAAGATTTAAGAAGAATAAGAATAGAAGTAATGTAGATATTAAAAGCATAGACAAAGCCATCATCATCAGAAAATAAGGAAGTATCAAAAACAGTTTCGGTAAGAGATTGAAAAAAAATATCTTTATTAAGAGAAGACCACATCTTTTAGAAATAGGCATAGAAGAATTAGAAGGAAGAAAATCTAAAGAAGATAAAGATTCAATAAAGAGGTGATCATAATAAGGAACAGAGCTAGCAGAGATATTAATAGGCTTAGAAAAAGATGAAGCTATAGAAAATCAATAGTGCTACCAGATGTATGAGTAGGAAAAGAACAATATTGTGTTAAGTTATGTAGAGACGTAATATTAAATCTACGTGTGTGAGAACAAGATAAGTTATTAAGTGCTAGTTGAAGTCACCAGAGATATAGAAAGAAATAGAGAGAAGAAGAAAGAGGTCGATAGATTATAACAATATAAAAAGATAGAGAAAAAAAATTAAGAGATACAACAAGACATAAAAAAAGAAAAATTAAATTAAGTATTAATGAAAGCAGTAAATAGATCAATCAATCTTCGTTTTGCATCCAGAGACCCGGTTCCCTGAGGTAGGACGTTGTTTTTTTTGCCATCAACTTTTTGCGCCAAATTAGACATTTAGTTGTATCCATTTCATTTAAATTTAGAGCTTTCATGTCTTGCTCGATTGTTTGCGACCAGGACTTCTTTGGACGGCCTTTGGGACGTGTGCCATGTACTTCAACATCTGCAAGAGAAGTTATGGCACTGTTTCCACTTCGTTTGACATGACCAAACCACCGCAGACGGTGTTGCCGGCATTCGTCTTTTATATCATCTAAACCAGCACGACGCAGGATTTTGGTAGATTTGATGTGGTCCTTCAGACTAATTCATTGCATCCATCGGAGCATTTTCATGTCGGTTCGTTGAAGTTGTTGTTTCAGTTTGGTTGTCATTGGCCATGTTTCTGCAACAAATAACAACACAGGACGTATCACAGATTTATAAAGTCTTGATCGTAGTGGTAGTGGGATGTCACGCCGCATGAATATAGAGGCAAGGAGATGCCATTTATTCCAGTCTGCACGTATGCGTGCTCGAAAGGCAGCTTCAGCTGTTTCTGTACAATCCAGAACATTCCCTAGATATTGAAACGATGTGACTTTCTCTACCTTAATGGCTTCAAAAACAGTGCTATTTCGAATTTGTTGTTGTGGATTGATGCAAGCAGGACAAACAAAATTGGACACTTTAGATAAAGTACCAATTATTTTTGAATAACGTTTGTGACACCACTGGTTACACTGCTGACACTTGATTGAATTTTTACCTAAACCAGCTTTACAAACTGAACAGGGCTATCGTCCAATAGCTGTGGATTGGATGGGTTCACCAGTGTTCATTGCTTTGGTTTTGCTGATGTTGACTTTGAATCCATGATCGGCGAATCTGGTATTCCAATCTTTAAGCATCGTGCTACATTCTGCTCAGACGTGGCTGTTAAAACGATATCATCAGCATATACTAGATTCCAAATGTCACCAGTGCGTATCGGTTTTGTGATTTCTTCCATCGCAGTTACAAATAACTGTGGACTGAGAATCAAGTTTTGGTGAACTCCAACGCCGATGTCAAATGCATCTGTGTTTTCAACTGTTGTGCTGACAAGAGTGTTAGTATTCGTATACATTTCCATCACAAGTCGAACAAGATATTCCGGAATGAGTTGTCGACGTAGAATCCACCTGATTGCTTCACGGGGAACTCGATCAAATGCTTTTTCAAGGTCTACAAAAATGTGTGATAGTTGTTGATGCTTTGCGAGGTACTTCTCTTGCAGTTGCCGAAGGATGTGAATTGCATCAATTGTTGATTTCCCCGCTAGGAAACCAAATTGATAATTTCCGGTTGTGATGCACGACGTTAATCTTTTCTCAATGAATTTTTCGACAATTTTCAGGGAGAGATCTAACGGATGTATACCCCGATATGATGAACAGTTTTATGGATCACCTTTGCCTTTGTATAGCGGAACTGTTCCATTCAGTCGGCATTGAGCTATTTCTCCAGATTTCACGGCAAAGTTGTAGTAACGTTTGGATACCTGCAGTACCAGATGCTTTGGTAATGTCATTTGTAAGTCCCGAGGGCACTGCTCAAGAACCATCTCATTTTTGTCGTTTTTTATATATGAGACACCAACTATGTCTTTTTTCGTACGCTTTGCTTGTTTTGCTATACGATACAGAGATTTCATTTTTTCACCTTTGCTTTTAGTGAGCCACTCTCTGCACTGATCTGTCCGAGCCAGTGCAACTTGACGTCTTGCATAGTTGTTCTTTCTACGGAAAATTTTATGGTCATCAACAGACTTTGATTTTTGCCATTGCTTGTATGCAACTTTCTTTTCAGCTATTGCATTTTGTACACTGTCATTCCACCACCAAGTGTCCCGTTCATGCTAACGTTTTGTACCAGTTTTCCCACGAACAGTAGTTGCAGCGTTTATCCAAACTGTTTTGTATGCACTCTAATCTGTACTGACTTGCGATTGGTGGTCTAACCGTGTGGCTACAATCTGTTGAAATTTTTCTCGATAAATATTGCTTTTCAGCTTCCACGTTTGATTCTCCGAGGCATTTGTTTAAACTTATGTTTTGACAGTTCGACAACCTGGTCTGCAACATGGAGTCTATGTTGGGCAACACATGATTCGCCAGGTATAACTTTGACATTTTTGAATAACCTTCGGTGTTGTTGCTTG